TGGTAATGTCGAAAATCCGGTTGGTTTAATGTAAACTGGCCGAATTTGCGTTTACTTTTGCCGAAATATCATGATGTCTATATAAAAATATTGCGACTGACTACTGCAGTTCGTGTATAAAGTTCATATAAAAATGTACACGAGTTTGATTTCACAACTTCGTATATCATAGTCTCTTGACTTGATCTAAACATGGATAAACATTAAGCGATCGAACAACTTGGTAACATTCGTTTTCGTTTTACGATTTAAAAAATGTGTATGTCTTAACAAATCCGAACAGAACGTCTTATTTGCATTCGGCCGGTTTAATGCGATTTATCAAAGAAAATTTATGCGCAAGATGGGCGCAAATATATCACAGATGTTCGCTGTTCGTTCGTTGTTTGTTCGCTCACTGTATATCCAACTTTGAACCATTTATAATTCGCGGTAGATTCAGCGGCTGGTAAAAGAATACTTTACTAATCAGGATATATATATAATATTATAATTACACCGAACGTCATATATGCCTTAACAGTTATTTACCATTTACAATTTCCACGAATCTTTTTCGACCTCAAATGTAAATATGTGTAAGGTCGCAAATCACAGCCAACACTATTGCACCTTAATCACAGTCTCAATCTCTGATGAATTTTAGAATGCATTCGATATCTAATAGGAAAATTTATTTTCTGAAAATTACTCAAAAAACATATCCTCTTATTGAATACGGATGCGTTGCAAAACTCATTTAAAAAATGTTTGTAACCTTCTTCCAATTACTATAGAAATAATTTAACTATACAAATAATTTAACACTATAATTTTAATTAAAATATTATATAAGGGCATATACGATTTCTGGTGTATATATGTCGCTTGAAATTCTTTTTAGTATTAGAACGGCACAAAATTACAGGTGGAATTTTTTCTCTCGTTTCTCGCATCCTGTCATCAATTGTGGGACCTTTAAAGTAGATTTTATAGAGTACGAAGTGACAATCGCATCCAATTTAGATAATTATGCATATGTTTGATGAAAACTTACTTTACATAGTGAGAAAAGGCGATCCATTTAGCTTTGGACAAGACACTCTTTCGAAACTTGTCCAATTCATTTGAGGGCTCTGTCCAAATGGTCCCAGCCCTGTATTTATAACCATTGCTTGAAATTTATCTCAGAGAAACTTAGATCTAAGTTTACAATCAGTCAGAGCGTCTCACGCGAAACAAGTTTCAAGCAACGACCACAAGTTTACAAAGTGAAAATCCCAACTTAAGATTAAAAGCCGACCGAAATATTATATTAATCAAAGTCTATACATAAAACAATAAAAGATAATATGTTGTCGTCCTATCAAATACATAAGATATATCTGACACCTATAGTTATAAAAAATCAAACGTTTTACATTCCCAAAAACGAAACGTCGACGATAGCAGAGTACCTCACTTCTTCACAGTATAAAACGACGCAAGTTGGAGAGGAAGCTCTGACCGTTACATGCACATTTTTGCATCGTAAAACGAAAATTGAATGGTTATAGAGGAAATCTCTTCTGAAACACGTCAATCGCAAATAAACGCGCGACAGAATATTCGCTCAGTCTTTTGTAAAACGTATATTCTCGCGCTCACGGAGAATCAAAATTGTCGCGCTAACGACAATCATTGCGTCTACCTTCTCAATAGTAATGGAAAGAAAGAATAGCCATTCAATTTCATGAAGAGTAAAACAATTGGAAAAGAAAGAAAAAGAAAATATTACACAAGTCACGTTAAAAACCGAGGTCCCGCTTGTTGCGTGTATATTCTTTCACTCCGCCGTACCGTCCCCGGTAGATTATCGTCGTTCGTGTAGCGATCGTTGTATCTGTATTGCCACTTGGCAATCATACAGTCCCACTGTAACAAAGCGAGTTAATAGATGTTTCGCGGTGATCAGATCATTAATCGCGTCGAACAATTCTTACTTACAGACGTGGAAATGAGGTGAGGATGAAATGGGTGCCAGCTAACGTCACGAACGCACGTTCCATGACCGAACAAGATACGCACTATTTTTCCCGTTAAAAGATCGTATACTAAAATCGAAAGTCGTATGATCAAACTTCGTCGAGGTTTCCTCTGTTGTATAAACTATATTCGAGAAACTTACTAAATATTCGACCTGACGAACATCCCGTGTAAATATATCTTTGACCAGTAGTGGCCGCTGGCGAGAAACGACAACGGATCAGAGTTTTCAGTACACAATGGCCGCGATATGTCATGATACTAGTGTCGCCTTCTAGCAGATTTCCCGGCCTGTACACTAGAAGTATTTTAAAATAAAACATGGAAAAAAATAAAATACCGTGACTCTATCTCGATTATTTTCTCTTTTTTTTCTTTTTCATTTTTCTTCCTGAGCGAGTAACTACTTACATCGTTTAGGTGCACTCTGCCACCTGTAATCCCAGTTTTGGTTTGAGACAGCCTCGCGAGTGTTCGTCTGGCCAGTTTTGCCGGATAACGCGCGCACGTCCCACAACTTGATAGTTTGGTCTTTAGAATTGGTTATTAAATACCGACTGTCGCCGCGGGAATCGATGTACGTAATCCCGTCCATATGACCTGCCAACACTCCAACCGGACGTGGATCAGTTTCGCTTACCATTCTCTTATCCCATACCTAAACGACAGGAGTACAATGAAGACGTGATATAGAGCGAGCAACGTTTCCGATAGTCGCGCGCGTATCATTGAGAATCGTATTCGATCGAGTCTTAGCATTTCGATCACGATCTCTTAGCAATATTAGACTTCAGTACCGTTAAAAAGAAAAGAGGTCTTTCCCAGACGCGGGCTCAATTATACCTTGCACAATCCGTCGTCGCCTGCACTGTAGAAGATCTGCGAGGTTTGGTCGGCAAAGGTAACAGCGTTTATATCGGCATCATGCCCTGCGATCTACACAAATCGACAAATCAATGTTAGAGTACAACAATTTGAGCACGCGCACACGTGCGTAACGTCTCGTTACACGATTTTACAAACCCGAAGGACTCGTTTATGGCATTCACGGTCGTACGTGTAGAGGTAACCATCGTTCGCGCCACCCAGAATTTCGCGCCCATCGTTTGAAAACACCACGGAGAATACGCAAAACCGCCGTATATTAGGGTTCAATGACAGCATCTCGTGCGTGTTGTTATCTCCGAGCACGGAGCATTGATATACTAGTGGAAAAAAAAAAGAAAAAGAAATGCCTAAAAGGTGAAGACAAACGGATCCAATTTCATCCAATATTGACGATACTTACAACATTCAGACCAACTCGAATACACGATAGTACTACCATCTGGACTGAATGCGGTATCTAAAATACTCCAGCCAACATCCTGTGCGGGTATTATCTTACACAGGAAGAATCGATCGTCATATGTATGGAACACTCGCAACAATCTATCTGTTAAGACACATGATTAGATGCAGGATAAAGAACGCTGGATTTCACACGAGAAGCTGTAAATAAAACGCATATTTCATACATGCAATGTTAGAAAGAAGCATTATACCTTGGCTGGCAGTAAGAAAGAGCCTTCCGTCTTTGGAGTGTGAACCGCAGAATATTTTACTGTTGTACTGATTTATCACATCAAATCTATTAGGTAAATAATTATTGTTTATCCAACATTTATCAACTGTATTGAAGGCAGGCCCAATGGTTCTCTTCTGTATCATAGACGTGATGGACAAATTCTGTTTGCTGGACTTATTTGTTAGTTCACAGGCTTGTTTGGTGGTGAAATTTATCTCATGTTTCTGAAAAATGTCACAAAGTTACTAATGTGTAATAAATAATGAAAACGTCTAATATATATAAAGAGAGAAACGTATAAATACAAGGTAGAATATAAGAAATCTGAGGATTCAATCTAATAAAAGGATCGATGACAACAAGTGGCTGGTTCTGAAGAATCTGAATAGAATCAAGAAAAAAAGGACAATAAATTGATCTTCTCTAATTTCTAGTATTACAATTAGGATATTAGTACTTTTGATACAGCGGTACCCTAGGATACCCAAGGGTAAGTATATTTATATCCAAATATATGATGTTTCTATTAAAGAAAGACATATGTATATATACTTGTCAGTATTTATTCATTCTTACAAGACCTCTCATTTATAGTCTATTTTTTAAGTGTCTCTAGAAATATCGTCCAGATATATGGAATACGTTCTTACAAGCGAGAAAAATAGAATAAAATTAAGTGCTTGATAACTCACATCTAGCCTGTCTGTGTTTGGAACAGAGGTGTATCGCTGCCGCGTGTTTTTGTAATATTCCTCGTCGTCATCGAGCTGGATTGAACCATCTACTCTGTGTAAACGTCTACTGAAACAGACGATAATATCAAGAAGATTTTATGACAGCCGTACTGCTGCTTTACGTGGAGGTTATGTTGACAGGTCGCATACAGTGCGACGTACGATGGTGTTGGCATGTCTCTCTCCGCAGGGGAGGCGAAGGAGAGAAGATTTTGTGACAGCTCTCCTGCAGCGTCTTTCGGACAATGAGGAAACACGATGCGACAGAAAAATGACCGGGAACAGTACTATCGCACGATGACAAGAGATGTTTACATACGTGCGAGAACACAGAGCGGGAGCGAAAGATAACTCTTGTGTGCAACTACTGGAAACTCTCTCCAAAGCCCTATCCGTATGCCATTAGTGGGGTGAAAAGAGACAATGGTATTGAACTATATAACTAGAACGAGCACCG